TGTTCCAAATATCTTGTGGGGGTACGCAGCTTTTGTAACTCCGAAAGATAGTTTCACAGCAAAAGACTCAAAATTTCCCAATCCTTTAGAGTAAGAAAGCATAAAAGTGGGCCCATCGCGGGTGAAGGTATATATTGGACCAAACTAATAAGTAAATTAGCGTGCTCGTAAAGCTTGCCGAATCAAGCAACTACTAAGTCTTCCGGTATGCACTTGTGTGAATCAAAATGTAACAAATATGAGTACGATGAATTCAACGATTTGTGGAAGGATAGAACCGTTAGTACACGGATCAGATCCCAATATTTATAAGAAACAAAAGGGTAGGAAGAGTTCAGAAGCGGACCCAATCCAGTAGTCTTCTTTTTGGAGATTTCATGTATCTGTTATCGAAATAAAACAGTCCTCGGCGTTCGCTGATTGCTAACTTCTTTTAATTATTTTAAACACTATGCATAAAACCAAACCCCAGTCTACAATTTGCATAACGCTTTACTGCATCCTCGAAAGTACCCTGGTCGATAACCCTGGTTTAAGTGTAAACTGCCAAATTTTACCAAATTGGTGGGAGTTCGGACACCTGTATTAGAGGACATTTTAGGTCTAGTGATCCGAAACTAAAATATTATGTCAACGAAAAGGTTTTCAACGCAAGGGTTGTAGCGATTAGGGTAATACTGGCTGATGCTTGTAAAAAGGCATTTTTCCTGTTGTGTATGGTTCGTCTTCATCAGTCTCCATCAAAGAGAATTCACATAGGGGGTGGCCACTTTATAACTTTATTAGGGTGATTTTTTTCAGACTTACATGATTTCGGGGGCAGACAGAGGCTTAAGCTGGGCCCTCTGACAGTAGAATGACTAGCTGTCGAATATCAAAAAGTGCCCTTCCTCATAAAACAACTCGGCGTGCCTTAGGAAATACACGTCTAATATTATGCTCGCTTCTGAAACTTTGGTGAGACACTAATTGTACGACGATATTATGAGCCGTTGACACTAGACATGCGTGCACCAAAAAAATGTTTTCCACCCGAGGACGTTTCTACCGAATTACGATTACGAGGTAGAGTGCCAATAATGGCACATGGGTTAAAATATCGTTTGCGTATGTAGAAAAAAATTGGTAACTCAGGTAGCGCAGACGGTCGTTGGCTTGTTCGCTGAGCTGGGAAATTTAATTGCGAGCGTTTCATCACCACTTGAGATAACATCATCATTGTGTTATTGAGGAGCGTAGTGGTGAAAGCGGTGGATTGGTGGTTGTGCCACGTTCGCAACCAAATTTCTTAGCTCAGAGAACGAGTCAATGGCCGTCAGTGTATATGTTATAATATACATTAAATGACGATCATCTTGCGTTAGAGCAACAATTATCTGTTAAAAGGCGATTGTTGTTGACGCAAGTAATGTCACCTACACGGCAGTATGTTGAAAATAAGGATCTCAATAGTCTAATCGGTAATAACGGATATGCAATTGGTTTTACACGCATGCACTCAAAAAACCCCAACAATGAGTTAACAGATTTGTTTTTGATTAAATACCGCGGATAATGCATCTACCTCACAAACGAAACCGTACTGGAACAATTTTGGCCCGTGTTGACTTGAGACACCCTCCTCACATACATAGATCTGCTTCAAAAACCGCGGTTTTCTTTATACTGGTTCCGCGCTGATAAAGACTTGCCAGGTGTTAGTGAAATTTTTACCTATAACAGAAGTTGACCTTCAACAGGTTTTAAAACGTTTTGGACTTTCCTCCAGCGGGATGTTCCCCATAACAATAAATGTTGCGAAAAAATCAATGATGGAGCAGACGTTTAAGTAGAAACGCCCAGAATCTCGCCGAGTTATCATTTCATTGGACTGTTATGACTCCTGGTCTATATTCTTCGACTATTTCGAAGCCTCTTTGGCCAAGTTAATCAGTGAGCGCTTATATTTAATGTGAATTAGCAAATTGTTCTCATCATCTACTCGCTTCAGCATTTTCAAACAAAGTCGCCGACAACCAGATGGTGTTGCAGCAAGGCTTTTGGTCTAACGGTTTTACGTTGCTCTGTTTGCAAATCCTATTGCAAAGGTTTTTACCCATTACTCGTTAAATAAATGGGTTCTTACTGCAGTGACTGCATCATTCCCGCTTAGGTGAGTATCAAAGTTTTGTCGAATCACTTACCGGACATACATGGTAGGTTTGCCCAGAAATCTACCAAATATGATAGAGCGGCACAATGTGGAAATATCTAAAGACACATGCAGTGACCGGCGTGTCTCCTTGGTTATAACCTATAATTCTTGGTCTACCTTGAGTAAAGAAGTCCTGATTTGATAACTCTTAAATTTCTGAAACTTAAAACGGAGGTAATGTGGACAGTTGTGGACACCAGTGATGAAAATATTGTTCAACACTTGGATCCAAAATATCAAAAACGTTTGAATTAACTTTGAAGCAACCTGTTGTCATACTAACATAAAACGAGCCTAGTGGCTTTCCACTGAAAATGACCAGTATTTGCACCTGCAAACGCCTAAGGAAATATGAATAAGTGACCGACAAGAACCAAGCCCATAAATTTGATTCGATACACATTTTGCGGCTTGCCCAGCCCACCTGGATGTGGATGTCATGCAATCTACACTTTTGTTTCATACTATTTAAGGCAACCGTGGAATCAGGTGCAGAATGGCAAACCCCTGGAAATCTTGTTGGAAAAAAGTTGTAATATACTATCCTCCCTCACCAGCTGCTAGTTCAAATGTATACTGCACTTTGCCAGCAAAGAACTTCTTTCTCTGAGAAATCCTGAACAACAAGCTTTAACATCCTTATTCATAGATTTGTTTCATAATTGAGCGCTTCTGCTGCTCGGAGACGCCGGAATAAAAATTTTCCTTTAAAACCCGATTTCTAATTTATAAGATTAAAGGATAACCCTGTTGTAAACCCCTAATTTGGGCCAACTTCAAATTATTCATAGTTTGATGGAGGTAATTTCTCGCAGTACATATTATCGATGTTGCATGATACTTGCAGTTGAAGTCAACGTGTGAAACAATTTCCGGACACACATGACTAATGTCTGTTTCAAGCGAAAACATTAATTATGGCTGATACTGCAGTCCAACAACTCATACTCGTGTAGCTTTCATGTTGTTTTTACGTAAGCTGATCAGTGTGACTACTACATTCTGACAGTAGTGGTTCGCACAACAAATATTTTACTACTCTGGGGTGTTGCCGCTTGCGTTCCTAAATAATACACTCATGTGGTTTGTATTCCTTTTTCATTTACAATAACCGGGTTTTGTTTGAGTCCCATTTTGCGACCTTGCTACTGATGAAATTTGATAACGTAAATATATCGACTAAGTTTCCAATAAACTATATCATATGAACCACGTCTGGTCCGTAAATTCACTTCCAAAAAATAACTTATGATGAATTAGTTTATTCATTGTGACGACTATACAATGGTACAAGAACTTAGGTCTTCCTTTCCGTAAATATTTTAGCGAAGAACAAGAAAGGAAATCCTATTTGTGAGATGTTGCCATGGAGTAGAGACACACTTTTGTCCCAAACGAATCATTTGTTTCATTTTTATCTGAGTGAGGGTATGAGATATCGTTTATTTAGTGTCATTACAAAGTGGTGTGCACGCCTGCTTCGTGAAGAACCATAAACAACAAAAACGAGTGACACCATATCATACCAAATGTTTGAAATCGAAGGTCGAATCTCACCCCTTCTGACCTTTATTCCATAATCCATTCCAGTCCATAATCCCAGGGCGTAGGTGACACTCTCGTGTAATTACTGATCAACACTTCTTCAGCTATTCTTTTACCAAATTAAATAACGCTTCTGTGGAGTGAATTCAGGTTACCTATACAACAGAACGGGAAAAAACAGTCATAAGGTTCGATACTATCTGCTCAATTCGCTTTCTTTAACGGGGTTGAAAAAAAGCAAGTAATTTTACGAAACAAATTCAGTTAGCGTTTTCATTTGTTTCATTGGGGAATGTTGTATAGACGCTAGGTATTTTATTGCAAATATTTTCCACCTGTGGCTCTAGAGAAATTATTAGTTTCAGGTAATCAAAGATTTTGATATGGCAAGCTAACAACTTTGGTAGCAACAAAAGGCAGTAGTCGATTGCGCTAAGAGGCCACTGGGTGAATTGTTTCCAAGGCTTTCAGTGTGGTTTAAGGGAGAAATGTTTGGTCCCATTCTCATGAAAATTTTCTGCTCCTTCGGAATTTTTCCGTGAAGTGTCCTATGTTTAATTGGGTTCAATTATTCATCAGGGACACTATCGAGATTGACCTGATCGGTTGTGCTCTTCGAGAAAAGGTAATTTCAATACAAAATAGCGCTTGTGGGTAATACACAAAATGATCCCTCTTTTCAATATTCATATTTTCTACCGCTTACCATCCAATGAAAAAACATTCTTCAAACGGAATAAATATATTTACCGATACCCAAAGCACTGACACAGCAGATGGTTCATTGAAAAACTGGCATACATAGACAAAAATGTTTCCAAAAAACAGCTCACTGTGGCAAAGCTAGTCGAATTATGCGATTTCTAAGTGTAAAAGCCAGGAATAAGCATCCTGCATTCAGTACAGGAACTCTTTTCTCCGTAACGTGCTCTTCTTTGGTTAACAAGGAAGATAGCGTATCCAGTCTGCTACACCATATCCTAACAATCCCATTTGGAAAAGTGGGACCCTTGTAGAATTTAAGAAAGTTTATTAATATCCAAAGCCAAGCGGCTGCAGAATTGACCCTTGAAATGTAATTTTGACCTGACGTCTCGGCCAGATTTTCCAGGCTGCATTTTGCTGTTTCCACTAGGCTGGTTACAACTTGATGGATAAAAGTGATTACTCCCTGGTCAGATTTTTGGATTTCTACCGCGGCTAATTTGGATCCCAGAGCTTCAAGCAATATCTGATTGGTTGAACGCCAGTAAACATTCTGCTCAGCCCCAGAGCGTAGACCGCATGAAATTGAATTCCAAATCAACGGAAGCCACACCGAAAGTGAACACCTTTGGCAGTCTTTGGTAAATGCCAAGTTGGTCCAATTCCGAATGAAGCGTTTGGTAGCATAAAAGGTCGAGTTGTAACCCAATAAATCCATGACGTTGATAAGACCAAGATTTTTCCGCCTGCTGTAGCAAGTATCAAAAAGCTCTTGCACTGAGTGGGTAAAGGTTCGAAGCAAGTTCGGCACTGAATGCGAAAAGTCACAAGTCTGATGGCCAAAGTTGAACTCTATCTTGAAGTTTAACATTTTGATTGTGTTTTGCAGTTGAAATTCACGTTCCAAAAGTTGATTCTCTAAGAAATTATGCTAAAAAACATACACCAACCTGTGTTTTCTCTGGTGCTATTCAGCAGAGGTTCAGTGTCCAATTGACTATTCTGATATCGTTGAAACATGCCAAAAAGTTGTTCCTTCCTCCTCTCTCGTGCAGAAAAATGATTTTGAAGTTCGTGGGTGAATTCTCCAGCATCCGTTCCCGGGGGGACATGATGTGTGATATAAATAGCAATGGATAGCCTCAATACCTCGGTAGATATTTGTCCTAGGAATTCGGCATAACTCTCACTTGAGCTGTTCACAATCAGGAAATAAACATTTTCGTTAAATTGAAGATATTTGGAAAAACAAATAAAGCCAAAAATTCTTCTTGAACATTGTTCTGCAATATATTTTTACCCAAAAACGAACTATAAAAGCATTCACAACTTTTTAAGGCAAAATTGCAACTTATACTCGATAAGAGTATTCGCTTTCAGACCTTTCCGTGGTGCTTTGCAGACATTACACCTGATGGAGCAGTAGCGTACACTTATTATATACTGGGCTCACCGTATCAGCAAGGCTGTCATAGATAAATGAGCAACGAAATTCGTGTAAAAGTTCGGCTACTCAACGTACCCAAATGAACAAACGAAGTTTCAACTCTAAACATGCTATTCTAATATTTTTTAGGAAACTTCAATTTTTTTTCCTTTTTCAGTATCCTACCCGTTTCTCGAACGTTTGCCCTTGTTTTTTCCTTAAAGACCTTCCTGTTTAAAATGATCGAACTACTTTTAAAAATCTATAAGTCCATATCAAAACACCCTTGCATCTGAAGGGCGTTTGTTTTTTTTGAAAATATTCATTTGGTAAACCTCCGTGTAGCCCCGATTTTGAACAAACTTAGTCGGTATTTCTTTCCCTGGTGATCCACGTCTATTGGTCCATTGTTTTTTCCTCTTTATGGTATAGCTTGTGCAGATTTTTTCCACAACAGGCATGAATCTTAATTGGTACATGGCCACATGTCTGACTTCTAGAAATGCCTAACAAATGTGCAGCAAACCTGTGCAATCGTAAACTTGTATTCTTCAAAACTACTTCCTTGGAAGGGTTTGAAAAGGTGAGTTTAATAACACCCCAGCGAGCGATCTACCAACCAGCGCTCTGCAGTTTCATTGCCCCAAATTTTCTCAAGTCATTTCTGCTATTGACAAGCTTGGAAAAATTGCGCGGAAACACCCTGTTGCCGTCTGCTTGATAATACAAAGCTCCAGCTCTATGCTCTTCCTGATGCTTTGTGTTTGTCATTGTTTCCAGGACACGCACGCAAACCAGAAAACATTAAAACGTTCCCGGGGAAAATTCAAGAGTTTTTTGTGAACGCCATTTCATAAAATACACGCACTGGGCACTACTAGTCACAAACTGTAAGAATGAATTAGGTGGTCACCAAAATATTCTGGAAAGAAAAAATTACTCGTTTCGATGCATGTAATACTGTGCACAAAGCATATTTTCTTTTTCAGTTTATCAGTATGCCATGCACACATAATGAGGTGTGATAACTTTACAGTGAATTTTCAGGTCATCGATTCCCCTTCAGTTAATTCGCCGCCCCCATAATCATGCAGAAATTGTGGACTGCGGTGCAATTTTTGGCTTGATACGATTCCTCCACCAATTATGCGGAGTGTAGTCACTCTGCACAATAAACTGCTTTCCACGAATGGTTAATTGTGACCCTCGGACATGGCATCTAAAAAAAGGATACATATATTTTAACTACAACTTTGACGCTTTCATCCAAATGGTTGTAGCTTATTTGACACTAATGTTTTGTGGACGGCATAGGAAAGAATAGGCCGATTAATTGAAGCCTGGTTAAGTTTTTTTGCAAAGTTTCGCTTGTGTCCTCCGAATATTCTCCTCTGCAAGTTAATTTGGTTTTAACGAGCTAATCAACCGGACCCAGGTGAATCTCTCATTCTTGATTGCTCCCCTCACCTGAATGTGCAGCAACAGGCCGCCACATGTCTCATCTTGTACAATATTCGCATTATCTCGATACATTGTCGACAATGTACTATTAATAAGGTTGCTTAAAGCTCTTCAACAGCCCACGACCGGTTTACCTTTCCTTGAGCTGATCAGGTAGGCACAGTCCCTCATTTCCACTCAACCTTGACGTTTCACTTAAACCCAAATAGGCTGAATGCCCCCTTCACACTAATTTGGTTTCTACGGTAGATTCGGATAAACTTAACTGAAGCCCTTGCCTATAATTGCCTTTTTCGGCACCTGTTTTTGACTGAACCTGGTTTTAAAACGTTTTGCGGTTCCTTGTCCGATGAATTAGGTAAAATACTGACTATACCAGCTTTTATTTTTCAGTTTATTAGGTATCACTAATCGTGTCTCCTAGAAAAAAAAAACAGAGAAAGCTACAAGCACCAGCAAAGGAATCTCTAGCTCGGCGCACACCCCATTCTACCGGAAGATAGCGAAATGTTGCCCAGCCATCGCGTGCAACTATAATCCTGACAATCGAAAGGGGGCTGTGACTGTCGCGTTTCTTATTTTTATCGTTTACTTACATCATTCTATAATAGCTTGTATATCGTGTTTTTCGGCGCGGTTGCAGCCGACGGCTCACGTTTGGAAACATTGTGTGCTTTTGTTCCAGAGTGTGTCGTATCACCCCAGTACTAGCATTTATTCCTCACAGTTAGTAATGACATATTAAGCAGCTCACATGTAGTACCATGAGTTTCGAAACAACTTTCTATTCAACATCTTAGAATCAAGAAGTGAAAAAGGTAAAGTTAACTTGAAGTGAAGCTACTCATACAGGTACTTAAAACACTTTAAAATCCCATTACGGGTTTCACCCTCTTTTAAGGTAATAAGATATGTGCATTCTACGAGCTCCCTTATGTTTTAAGCGATTCACAAAATACCGCTTACTATAATGCCAATTTTCTTCTAACAAATGAATTAACTGAAACCTAGCTGCATTTAATTTCTATGATATTGCCTATATAACTGTGTACATGGGATATCCTGCCTTTTATTTACCTGGATTAGTAACAAACTCATCCTGAATATCAAGTCTCTGGTTTGTACAGTCCTAATTTTTTTCCCAATGTCTTGACCCTAAAACTTTTCGTGCCTGATGATCAGGTTACTCATAAATACAGCTGTTGAAACATTTAAGAATTTCACTTCTTATTTTTAACACCACTGTATAAAACTCGCATTAGGCCTGGAACGAACACCAAATAGCATCATAGATGTCCACCATGTGTGGCAGGTAAGATCACCTAAGATACTCCTCCATATTATAATATTGTCTAGAATCATATTGCCAGATTTTATCTGTTCTAGAGGTCAGACCGAGCCAAGAAGTGTGACATGGCTTTTGCTACTAGGATGGGCTTTCTCCTTTACTTTATAATTTGAGCTGTTACGCGAAACACGGAAGTTTTAGCACTTAGTAGATAAAACTAATCTACTGGTACCTAGTTCAGAAGTAGTTGAAAGAGGGCTTCCAGAGTTGGGAATAGATGGAAGATTTGCTGTTTCAAAAACGCTGGCCTGTTAGATAATCCCCAAGAAAAGTGTGCCCACGCGTTTTGATACTTCTTTCCGTCTCCTTGCCCTTCAAGTCTCACACCCATGAATGGCGATATCCAATGTCAGCATCGTCCGAAGTCAGCCAAGACATTGGATTTTATTTATCTTTTTCACTTTCTTAAACTTTTTTCTGAGGATTCTGAGATATTTTTCACATCTCTGTTGAATGACTGAGCACCTAATGAGAGGAAGAACCTGTGCCTAATCATTTAAAATAACACTGTAGAACAATGATGAATGTCAGTGAGCACCTGAAAAGCGTTTTCGGTAAAGGGACAGATCCTACTCTATTTTTGCAACAATTTTCCATAAAATCGAATATGAATGAAGCAAAAAGCAAACTAAATCCTTGCGCCCCAAGGCTGTAAACTAATTTACTAATACAAACGGTTTAATCAAAGAATAAAAAATTCTAGAGATCTTAGAATACCATCACGTTTTTCCAGAATCACCCTGGCGTCGGATCAATGACAGTAAAGATCATACGTCACTGTATTAACTCATTTATTGACAATTTCCACTTGCATTTGTCTACTTTAAATGTTTTGACAACACGCGAAAGTAGATTGACGTTCCACCTGGAACTTCCTTAAAAATAGATTAACAGAATCATCTGTGCTTGGGAGCTTTCTCGTGCACAAATGATGTCCTGAGTGATTCACTCCGGAGCGCGAAAAGGTATAGCACCCACTCAGATGCTCACTGAAGACGTCTCCGCAACCGGGGACGATATGTTTGCAAACCACCTTCCAAGCTAGGACAAATAGTTATTGCGCCGTTGCTTCCTTGGGTAGCCTTGAATCACGTCCGCACCACTACATGGTTCACGTCAAGCTTAGATCTACCTTTGATGAAGACGCTATTGGATATAAATCCACAAAAAAGCAAACGGAATAAAAGATTTTACCTCTTAAATCTTAAACCCCAGGAGATAAGAATTTTGGGCCGTGCAAGATTTAGCAGTCTTTTTCAAAAGAGGGTTCATTTCTTCAGAAGGCACTGTGTAACCGGAGATTAACCTATACGGATGAAAAAGAAGCGAAAATTCTAAGCAAACCAAACGCTGTCCTGAAATGTCTAGTAGATTATAATAATCCGTCCTTTCAGATGTGTAGAAAGTACACTTCCACATGATGGTACTTCTAGAGCTGACTTGTCATCCTCTTGGTACTTTGTTGTCGACCGGTGTACCACGGACTTTGCCATGCACTAAACCTGGTATTTGCGATGACCTTGACTTTGCTGGTGAATAGGTCCAAAATTCGGAACGAATGACAAAAACGAAATGTTTATCAACATCCAACGACATTTTATTCCTGAAAACTCGCACGTGTGCTATCTCCCGAAAAAAGTGGATATTGATAAACCAGCAGTCAAACCGTGTACCACAAAATTCTTTTCAACTATAAACTGACATCACTTAAATTTCATTTTTCGTGAATGTTTGCAATAAATTTCAAACCAAGTATTCAGAAAATATCTGTGACACATTTACTTTCTCACTCTTCTTCTTATTTGATTCAGTAATTGGCTCGCAGCTTGTCTCTAGCCTCAAACATGCCGGAAAAGCACATGCAATTACCAAAAGGAAATATTTAATGCTTCTGGAGGTACTTATGGTAGCAAATTATTTGACATCACGTTTCATGGGAGTTAGCCATTGAATCTGCAGAAAATCGATGTTACTGGAAGCATTGCGCAAGAGTAGACTCATGAGTATTCCAGGAAAGGTGAAAAGTCAACATTCACCATTGCTCTTCGTAATGGTGGAGTCAGCTTGTCTCTAGCCTCAAACATGCCGGAAAAGCACATGCAATTACCAAAAGGAAATATTTAATGCTTCTGGAGGTACTTATGGTAGCAAATTATTTGACATCACGTTTCATGGGAGTTAGCCATTGAATCTGCAGAAAATCGATGTTACTGGAAGCATTGCGCAAGAGTAGACTCATGAGTATTCCAGGAAAGGTGAAAAGTCAACATTCACCATCGCTCTTCGTAAATGGTGGAGTATACTAGGCTGTCGGTTCCACACCAAGCACGCTAATCATTTCCAGCTTTGGAAAACTGCTGACTGTGTGGAATATATTGTTTAAACTAAGCACACCATTGATGCCCTGCATAAGTGTGCATTAGGGTGTTTGCCCTGGATTAGCCGTGAAAGCTGGGTTGATTAAGAAGCTGGATCTGTTTGAAAGCCAGTATGTCGGAAGGTAGCATCTCAGTGGCGCCTGCCAATAAAATAAACTTAAAGTGATAGAGTAATGTGACCTTCAAAAATTCTGTTGATATATAATACATGATCACTACCACTACTGGAACGTAGGAGGATTTTTCATCCTGATTGTTGACTCTCACACATGTAAGTGCTAATATTGGCTAAAGTCTTTGTGCCACACACCTGCGCACAAACACGAAATTAATACTCAAGAATAAGTAAGTGATAGAGCCTTCAAATGACTATTGTAGACTTCAGACCATTCTCGTAAAGGGCGATATCAAAGAGGCACTGAGACTTTTACTTAGGTCTCAGCGTAGGCAAAGATTTCCAGTTTGTTTCAAACGTGAGCTTAAGTTTTATGTCCCAGGTGGAATTTTACTTTTGATAATGGGCATTCAACACTGAACTGTATTAAAATCTGCTTCTACCAAAGATCTCATTATTTTCCATCTCGAATAGTAAATGTTTATAATAGCCCTTTAATTTTCTTTTAAGGTATGTTCCAAATAACTTATAGACGCAGGGTTTATCATGGGTCTGCGGGTCTGCCAATAGTTGCGCCAATGACAAATTCTCGGGTTCAGCTCCTAGTTCGGTTGGCTAGTCTACTGCAGATTTTGAGATGAGGAAATGCGCCAACCGCTGTCAACTGCCTTAATGAGCTGCAAGTCTGTAGGGCTGTCTTCCTTCCTGTCCTCTTCAACTTCGTCAATAATACCATCATGGAAATCTCACTACCAGCCTTTAATGCCTGTTGAATCGAAGTGATCCTGGGGCCTCGTACGCAGATGACATAGATTTTCTGGGATCTGACCCCATGGTAGTGCAAAAAGTATTAAATAATCTAAATGAATATGCCTCAGGGTTTGACGTGCAATTCACTGCTACAAAAAGTGCTAAGCTAATGCAAGACTGGGTGGGATCGAACCCTAGCCTCATGCTTGCGGATGAACCGATTGAGGTAGTAGACAAATTTGTTTACTTGAGCAGCTGTATCAGTCCCGGTGGTCTTGTGAAAGATGATATTTCCATCCGGATTGGGAAGACCAGAGCAGATTTTGTGAACCCACATCACCTGCGGCGTAGAAATGACATCAGCTTCTCTGTCAAGGGTCGAGTTTGCAATGCTGCGATGCGCTCCATATTACTATACGAATCAGAAACCTGGCCTCTGCGCGCCGAGGACGTCAAAAGACTTTCAGTGTTTGACCATCGATGTCTTCGGAGCACTGCCGGAGTCTGGTGAGAACACCGAATCAGCAATGCTGAAGTACGTCGAATGGTATTCGGGAAAAATAACTCACCCTCGATAGATGCATAGGTTGCGCTGGCTTGGCCACGTGCTGCGTATGCCATTCGACCAACTTCCTCAAAGGGCTCTTTTTGCGCAACCACGTGGAAGAGAGTCAGAGGCGATCGAACAATGACTTGGCAGCGAAGTATGAAAGCCATTGACAGAAAACTCAGTAGCGCATGTCACTGTCGTCTTCCTGGGTGGGAATCCCTAGGCGGGCCATATCAATAGGTAGAGACATTGTCAGACATGGCCCGGTCGCGTCCTCAGTGGCTCTTATGTATCCAGGCTATTGCTTTCAATGCATCGCTCCCTTCCCATTTTCTCCACTGAACAGTCTACAGACATTGCTGTATTTACGCACGAATTTATCAACCCCTGTTCCCAATGCTCAGCGACCTACACCACCTTCCTAAATCATTGGCAAACGAAACTGTGGCAAATATAACCACTGTACGACAAGTATCCGGTTATTACAGCCGACAGTGATGATAATGATGATGAGTTACCCAACAGCTTTCAGACAATATGCTTTGGAACTATGTCGTTATTAAAATTGTAACTTTGGTATTTCTGGCCAAATCTCATCACTAATTAAAGGTTGAATATGTTGTTCTCAGTAGAATATAGACGTTTATCACTTTATTTCTGCACTTCACGTAGAAATAGCCCACCATCATTAAAAGATTCAGAATCAGTTACTAGTAGAACATGAGGTTACGGGAATCTCAGTGACTGCGTCTACATGATGTGTTCAAGGATAGTCGGAGAGTGTCATGGACTGTTAGTGTCTCCAGCCAATTTATAAATAATGCTTCCTTAAATAAGGCGTTGCGATATTTCAACTATTGTATCAAATGAAGAGTGAGGCGACCCTCTTGCAGAAAATTTAGTTAAGCAACATTATAGACGAGATGCAGTTAGAATTCAGTTCAATCTTATACTCAAACAAAATTGTGCCAAAATTTATTTTGCAGTTTCTCTTAAGTTTGATGGTGTAGCATGTAATAAACCCCATATTACCGAGGCAAAACCTATTTTTCACAAATGTTGTTAGGATTTTACCGGAAATGTTCATCCCACTGTTATTTTATTTCTGATGGTGCCTAGTGGTTTTGTGATCACATAAGTAAGTGGGATGTGGGTGGCTTAAAACTCATACTGATAAAGTGTTTCGTTTTAATAGAGCTGAGTAAGTTTGTTAATGTAGCAGTGTAGTAATGTCCTGACAAAAAGGATTATTTTAGTCATTTGAAACCCATGCTGCAGATGCACGTACATTTAATAAGGCTATCCAACAGCTTTCTGTACATTTCAGATGTTCCCTGATAAGCAACAACAGTGGGCATTCTTTTGCCTAAAACAACAAAAATCAGCGTTCAAACAAACCTTGTGGCTTTGCTCTCAGCAGTTAGAAACATCAAGCCAGTGAGGCCTCAGAGCTCTAGGAAAGCAGTCAGTGGACAAGAAACTAGGCAACGTTTTGTTTGGCCCTTGTTGCAATTCACGCCTCATACCCTCGTAATACATGCGAAACTGTTTGAAAAAAGGACAAAGTACCAAATTTACTTTCGAAATTTAGCGAAAAATTGTACCAATTTAAACATAATGAAAAGTATCTCTCTAGGCAGAATTATTGCGGGAAGGCACAACCAGTATGCTCACGTTCGGTCTGACGCCAGAATCTGATGCATTGGTCCCCATTTTCTACCTATATGTGTGCAGAAAGTAAGCCTGTTTTGATTGCTAGAAAAACAAAACCAGTGAAAAGGGCTATAGCATTCAAACGACGGTAAGCTGTAACCAAATACAAGCCGAGTATGTTTATGCTCGTAGTTGATCAGGCTCTTCGAAAATGAAATAAATAACATAAGACTGAAACTTCCACTTTGCGCCAAATTTCCTTTCAGAACGCCATCGACAGCAATTTTTGCAATAATTCAATAAATTAGCAAAATAACTAACAAGATTGAAAAACGGAACCAAGATCAATTTTTGAGTGTTAACTAGGGCTTTCCTCAAGTCCTTTTCCGTTGCAGATGAGTCGATCAGTATCGAAAAGAGAGCAATGCTGGTCACTGTACGTTCACAAAACGCTTCACTTTAGACACATTCTCAAACGCCAAAACAGTTGTGTTGGTCTGATTTTTCGTGCACAAGGCAGTCTGCAGTCGAGAACGATCAACCAATGATACATCGCTCCCATCTGAATGAATATTTGAGCTCAAAACAATTAGCACAATCTCAAAACACCTCAAAAAAATCCAGTAGTTGGTTTTACTGTCCACAAACATACGAAATTAACAATCGGCCATTATCTTTGGGGCACATCCAGTCAACGATTTTAGGCAGTTAGTACAGAAACACCTTTGCTGTGGCTATAAGCCCATAATAATAATCCTAGTCCTCCATCCGTAAAGCCTATCACTTAATGTAGAGTAACGAAACGGCAGTGTTAATCTCGAAAGTTGATAGTAGAGTTCAATAGTCTTTCGCTTTCACCCGTCTATAAACAAGATATAGAACCCGCGTATAATTCGTTTCCTGGTATTGACCTTTACTATTTAAAACAGAGTGATTCGTCGGAGATGCGAACAATGCGGGTCCACAGCTTTGCTTTACATCTTGGTCAAGTATCTGCACTCAGGATATCCAAAAAATTAGCATTGACACACGAACCAAGAGACTTACTACCGTTATAAATGTTGATAACGCCCTCGGATACGAGTTTTTTGATGGACCGAAACAGCCGAGGCGCTCAGTTCTTGGCCATTGTTTGCACCTTCATACAGTCACCTCTGGAGGTAAGCAACTACTATACTTCTGTACTCGCTGTTTTGGATCAAGAGTTGCCAGTGTTGTAGTGTCAGTGAAAAGATGCGATTTCTGCTTTGTGCGGTTTTGATATTTGTGATTCAAGCAAAACTCTTATAAACCCCGCATTTGTTGACTGAATTTTATTCCTCTTGATGCCCACAAACCTGCAGATAGTGAAGCACAAGAAGCTGCAGAAAGTGGGGCTCAGTTAAACAAAATGCTGAAATACTCGTAGGGTAGCCGTGAGGTTAAGTCTTAAGAACTTCAAGCGCAGAAACTTGCGTACGAAAACGACTAACAATTAATGTACTATTGCTTTAGGTGATTAATTATCCACCACAAAATAGGTGAAAACTCCAATATGAAGCTGAAGACGCACAAATTACCCTGTTGCCAGTATGTGACGATATGTGAAACATCTGAGTCTGTCGGAGGAAGGCCTGGTGAACAACATGGTGGTGACCGCTGATGGTTATTCTGAGGTGTCGAAGATGCCAAGTGCCTTTCGCTCTTGGCTGAGAAGAGCACAGAAGCCCGTACGTCTAGATGTTTCACCATGAAATCAAGAGGAATGAAATAAGATTCTTTAAATTAATCAGGCTCCGCGAAGAACCGAATGTAATAGTCAGATATCTAAGTGTTCTGTAAAAACTGATCGTGATACTCATCACTTTGCGGGCAGAAGGCGGGGTGGGGCGGTCGTTCTGTTACACGCAAAGGTTTGCAGTTTGCTTTGAAATCTTGGTTTCCAAAAATAAATTGGATATCTTCCTCAAACATGGCTACTAAAGACTTTTCAAGTCTTTCCAGAAGGCCACAAACTATCTCAATGTGACCATACGTAATTTCAAGTACAGCGTAAACAATGGAGGAACATGGATCCCTCTCACATGGTAGTCTAATGAATGGGTTATATGCAGGATTCCAATGAATGCAACCTCATATTTCGACTGCACTATGCTGTCTAGGAAAGTGCCATTTACCTGTGCATTCCGCGATAACACAAGACGGATTTCAAAAGAGCAGCAAAATTTAGCGTAGGAAAACAACACGTTTGGTACGATGGTTGCACGCGCGAATAAAATTCCGCCAGTTTGTAGAATAAGATCGGCGCCCAAAATTCCCCTTATATTCCTATTATTCATGAATACGCCCCACAGATACGGAGAAAACCTTGGAGGTGGTCAGCGGTGTGCACGGCTGGTAAGTATTTGTCGTAGTCACGGTGGCTGTTTTCGCAAAATTGGAAAAGTGGCTCTTGCAGGAGACTGGCGATATACAACTGTACTTAACTAACACTTACACGGACGTTGATGCCAAGACTCGCCATACCTCCTAAATGGCTCGGAATAAACGAAAAAGTAACCTACAGGCCAACCAGGCTGTCCCAATAATTTAGTTGTAAGTATTTGGTGGTTGTTTTATACTTAGTTAATTGAACAAATGACTGGGTGAAATCGAATAACTATATTTTTCACTACAGGCGCGACAACTGAGAAGCTTCCAAACACAAATATGCAACAACTCAAGGGAGTCAATCATCACTGGCTGGAAAACGAACGGCAAAATTTCGGAAACGCCTCCAGAGGACGATCAAGAGCAATAAATGAATCCCCGTTGATTTTTACAACATTACCATCAATATCCACACTTCAAGACACCTATTTATATCCAGGAAGGTAATATTCTGAGGAAAGATGTAGGAGTAGATGGGTTATCACGGTGCGGAAGCATAGTGTTCAGAAAGTTAACTAATTGTACTAGGGGAAGAAATAAGTGCCTATGAAGGGGCCTAATTTGCTTGCCAGACGACCTCTGCTGAGTGCGAAATGGCGGCGAAATTTAGGTAATGAGTGCGGATTTTCCACACCCGGATGCGAACTGGGTGCGAAAACTTGATCATTTATCACTGTGTCCGCACCCGGGTATGGATCTGCCGCGTAAATTTCTGCACCAGTTCTAATTGGGGAGAGCTCCGACCTTGAGTGGTCATAAGTGGTCATCAAAACTGGAACCAGATAATTTGTGGACGAGACAAACTGAAAGTGCAGCAAGACATCAAGGTTGTTAAATCCAGGATTATTATTTCCCGCTGTGTCAGTGACAACAGCTCTTCAGCATTTCCGGTGTCTATTGCGCTTTGATTTTGGCAGTTTTTGCAAGGCCTCATCTCTGTTGGATAATGCAAATTTTGCATGCGACTGCCATGTTTCTTTGCGCTTTTAAGGGCTCGAAACCGTGAAACGTCCACTGCTGGTTTGATGCACACAACGTTTGTAGTGATCCATGCATTGAAGCTTGACAGTGGTCTTCACAGTCGAATTCGTTTTATTTGTTCGGC